GAGTTGGAGGTTGCTGTGAGCTGTAATGCCATGGCACTCTCCCCAGGGGGACAGCTTGAGGCTCTGTCTCAAAAAAAAAAAAAAAAAAAAAGATCCAGTCTGGGGTATACCTGGCCTAGAAGCAACGGAACACTGACTGGGAAGACAGAAGACAAACTAGAAATGGTGGGCATTAGAAAAAGACGTTCTCCACCCTCTACTCTGAACTTGTGTTTACAAAGAAACAAGTGTACGTGTGTACCAGCCCTCTGTCAAACATGACACCCAAATAAACAAACTGATTCCGTATGTGCGGAAGGCACAATTAACTACACAAATGGCACAGACCACAAAGAAGTCACCTGTGCACATGCACACCCAGCCTGGCAGTAAGCAGCAGCTCGACCTGGGGACTTGCTGAGTCAACATCCAACTAGTGCAGAGTGGGGTGCTGGAGTCGGGAGGGAGAGAGCAAGGTGAACTTACAGGATGCTCCCAACTGAAGGGGTGACTGCAGGACTATGAAAATAAGACAGATAATGAAAACTGAAGTGACTAGAAGGTGGTCTTCAGTGAACACAGGTGCCGACTGCAGCACTGGTGACGCTCGCCCACCAGAGCACCTGCTGAGAGGGTGTTTCTTAAGCTTCAGAATCAGCAACCACAACCCCAGCAGAGTAACACATGAGACGCAGATGGTTTAACATACCTTTTTGGCATACAGCACAATTTTTTGGAATTGGCCTGTTTCTGCAAAACACTGGATCACTTTGTTTGGCACATTTGCCCGAAGGTACATGCTCAGCGCCAGTGTAGAGTCAGCAGTTTTGATCAGATCGCCGAGCTCTTCTGAGCACTCCAGCTTTGGTGTGGCAAGAAGGCAGAGCTAAGACCAGCAGGGCGGGAAGCCTAGAGCCCGGCTCAGGCCATGCTGGGCTGTGACCTCACCTTGTCGTCCATCAGCCACTTCTCTAAGAGCTGCTTGCGCCCCTGCTGAAGAACTGGACGGCAGAGTTCCAAGGATTCAGGTTTATTGAGCTGACCCTGGTCGAGCAGGATTCCAAAGTACTGGAGCAAAGGGGAAGCCTGGCCAGGCTGGGCGGGCACACTCTGGAGCTTGTGAACTGTGTCACTTGTCCGCAGGAGTCCCTGATAATAAACGGAACTGCAGGTCAGTGTGCTGTGGCCACAGGGATCGATTTACTGGCATCAAAAAATAATCTGCCAGGCTTGGCACCTGTAGCACAGTGGTTATGGTGCCGGCCACATGCACCGAGGCTGGCGGGTTTGGGCTCCAGGCCAGGTAAACAACGACAACTGCAACAAAAAATAGCCAGGTGTTGTGGCGGGCACCTGTAGTTACAGCTACTCAGGAGGCTGAGGCAAGAGAGTTGCTTAAGCCCAAGAGTTTGAGGTTGCTGCGAACTGTGATGCCATGGCACTCCACCAAGGGCAATATAGTGAGACTCTGTCTCAAAAAAAAAAAAAAATCTGCCAATGGAAATTCCACACTGAACTGTCAGGAACAAAAGCCCTGCCCCAAGGCGACTGGTTCAGCAGAGACTCTGAGCCTGGCAGATCTGTGGCCTGCAGACAACTCCACAGGTGAACCTCACCTGTGCCAGCACATGGTGCTGAGAATAGGCCTCTAGAAATGGTTTGCTTGTAACCGCAACTGGAAAGACAAGAAGGAGGAGCAATCTGAAAGTCTTTACCCAGGAGAAGATTTAGTCTCAGGACCATTTATCCTAACGAAATCAACCAAGAGAGAAGCTGTGAGCAGGGCTGCCGCACTCTGGAGGAGTGGAAAACTCCAGAGCAGAACTGCTGCTGAACAGAAGTGCACAACCACACGATGCATTAGACAGTTACAGAACTATCAAGGAGGCAGCAACACCAGAAAGTTCTAAGTCACAAACACGTAAAACTGCCTCAGCGAAGATGCTGGGTGAGAAATAGACACACAGAAAAGGAGACGGGGACGCAGACCGTCAGGGCAGCGAGACTGGGAGTTCTGTCTCTTGCCATCATTAATACGAAATTTCAAAACCAAAAAACTGAAAACCCTCACATAGCACTGACAGACTCCAACTCTGGTAGGGAAATGCTTCTACGGCTTATTTCACTCTCACAGTTGACTCTTAAAATGTCACTATCCTGAAAAGCATTCGAGTTTCGTCACCTTCGGTGCAGACGCTGCTGCTTTGGTGGCTTCCGCGTAGCTGCCCTCTGCGAAGAGCGTGTTGAATTTTCTCACAAACAACTCCTCTGCCTCCGGCAGGTTGCCACGGACAGCCAGACGAAGAGCCAGGTCTGGGTTCTGAAGGATGTCAGCTGTGTAATTCACGATGTGGTCTTCCTCAACACAGACAGACAGCACCTGCAAGGACCAGCAGGGGAGATGCACGGCCTGGGGACACTCCACACCTCTGCTTGGCCCCTTCCCTCTCAGGCCAGGAGGGTGGCCACTTCTCAGGCTCGAGGTGAGCAGGCCTGTGATGCAGGCCTGACAGTGGGAGGATGCCAAGGAGCCATGGCTAGTGGTGGCCGAGCAGCCCAGCTCGGCACAGCTGAAGCTTGGGATCCCGTGGGGCTGTCACGGTCACACTGATGATGCCACAGTGAGGCATCCAGCACCACACCAAATGGCCTGTCTGATGGAACTGGCGATTTTTTCCCCCAACTTGTTTTCCAAGCACAGATTTTCTTTTTCTTTCTTTTTTTTGAGACAGAGTTTTAGTATGTTGCCCTTGGCAGAGTGCTGTGGTGTCACAGCTCACAGCAACTTCCAACTTTTGGGCTTAAGTGATTCTCTTGCCTCAGTTTCCTGAGTAGCTGGGACTACAGGTGCCTGCCACAATCCCCAGCTATATATATATATATATATTTTGCAGTTATCATTATTGTTTTAGCTGGCCCAGGCCAGGTTTGAACCTGATTGCCTGGGTGTATGTGGCTGGTACCCTACCTACTGAGCTAAAGGCACCACTAGATTTTCTTCTTTTAACTATCTTTAAAACTCTGACTGAGAAAAGTGACTTAAATACCCATAGTATTGGCCAGCCGAGGTGGCTCACACCTGTAATCCCAGCACTCTGGAAGGCCGAGGTAGGTAGATTGCTTGAGCTCAGCAGTTCAGCACCACCCTCAGTGAAAGTGAGACCTTCTACTAAAAATAGAAAAATTAGCCAGGCATTGTGGTACATGCCCGTAGTCTCAGCTACTCGGAGACTGAGGCAGGAGGATCACCTGAGCCCAGGAGTTTGAGGCTGCTGTGAGCTATGATGACACCATTACATTCTAGCCAGCACAACAGAGCAAAAAGAAATACCACAGTATCTGCCTTTTCAGTCCTCTGCAATTACTGCATGGTCTGGAGATGTGTGTGGTGAGTATTAGAAGCGCTGCCCCCTGGCAGAAGCTCCAGGCATGAAGGAGACGAGGCTCCTCTCAGAACCGAAGAGGGCAGTGAGGGACGGGAGCAGCAGGAGACACGGGTTTAAGCTCAGGGATAAGGGAACTGTATTCGCCACTTTCCTGGAGAAGGGCAGAGTTTAGGTGCCTGTGCCCAGTGAATGGAAACGCCATAAAAGAAGCCTCAGGTGGCATACCTGTCCCCTCTTGTTGACGCCAATAATCCCAGAGGTCGGTTCGTGGGGAGCAGTCACAAAGACTGTGTCGGCACTAATATGGCTCGTGCAGAGGCACACACTGGACTCCAGGTCGTACACGTGCAGATAGCTGTGCTTTGTGACCAGGTAGATGAGACCGTGTTTAGCTCCAACCTGTGAAGAGACAGAACAGGCTGGAGATGGAGGCAGCTCTAGGTTGGACAGAAGAGCTCAGGCATGAGGACTAGAGCTCCTGAGTGGCTCAGGCCGAGAGGTCACTGGTGGGAATGATGCTTTTCTGAGACATGAATTCCAAGTCCTATACCCTGAGAGCTAGTTTTTTTTTGTTTTTTTTTTTGAGAAAGAGTCTCAAGCTGTCACCCTGGGTAGAGTGCTGTGGCACCACAGCTCACAACAACCTCAAACTCTTGGGCTCAGGTGATTCTCTTGCCTCAGCCTCACGAGCTGGGACTACAGGCACCCACCACAATGCCAAGCTATTTTTTGTTGCAGTTGTCACTGTTGTTTAGCTGGCCTGGGCTGGGTTCAAACCTCTCACCCTCGGTGCCTGTGGCTGGCGCCGTCACCACTGTGCTACGGGTGCTGAGCCCTGTGAACTAGTTTTAAAGTCAATAGTTTGTTCGACCACTCACAAATAAAGGGCCAAGAAAATCAAGCTATTCTATCTTTCAGCTAGAACTATCTTTTCCCCAGTTTATGACCAAAACCCTTTAAGCAAGCTGCGAGTTCATGAAAGAAAGAAAAATTCTGGAAAAAGACCCTAGACAGTGAGTTCCCATCTAAGCTTGCCCTCTGCCATACCTGCTAACCTCTGACCTTTGCCAAGTGCCCGACTCCTCCAGGAAAATACTCAATACAGAGGAAAACCTGAGGGGTTGGAAAAGAGGGATCCACTCAACTGAATGAAACTCTGAGTTCTCAGGAGTTCAAGAGTTTGAGACCAGCTTGAGCCAGAGTGAGAGAGAACCCATCTCTATAAACAAATAAACAAAAAATAGCTGGGTGTTGAGGCAGGCATATGTAGTCCCAGTTTCTTGGGAGGCTGAGGCAAGAGAATTGCTTAAGCCCAAGAGTTGGAGGTTGCTTGGTGGGACCACAGCTACGGTGCATCTTACAAGGGCACATGTGAAATTTACTAAATGTAGAATACAAATGTCTTAACACAATAACTAAGAAAATGCCATGAAGGCTATGTTAACCTGTTTGATGAAAATATTTCAAATTGTATATAAAACCAGCACATTGTACCCCAAGATTGCATTAATGTACACAGCTGATTTAATGAAAAAAAAAAAAGAGTTGGAGGTTGCTGTGAGCTGTGACACCACGGCATTCTACCCAGGGTGACATAGTGAGATTCTGTCTGAATGAATAAATAAAAATTAGGAAAAAAAGCCTTCAAATTAAAATAATTGATTATAAAATTCAAACAACAAACAAACAAACAAATAAAAAAGTATGGTATTAGGCCAGGCTTAGTGCATTTTGGGCAGCTGAGGTATGAGGATTGCTTGAGGCCAGGAGTTCAAGACCGGCCTGGGCAACATAGCAAAACTGTCTCTACAAAAAATAAAAAAAATTAGCTGAGCACAGGGGTGCATGCCTGGAGGTTCCTGTGAGAGAATCAGTCATATATGAGAGTTTAATAGGAGTAGGCCTATCAATGGCAAATGCACACTCTATACTGATAAACAATCAGCCAGCTACAAGGGGATAAGGAACGGAATGAGGGCAAAGAACTGAATCTCTATTGTACTCTCTAGATCAAAGCAAATTCCAGATGGGTCAAAGTTTTTTTTTGCCGTTTTTGGCCAGGGCTGGGCTTGAACCCACCACCTCTGGCATATGGGGCCAGTGCCTTACTCCTTTGAGCTACAGGCGTTGCCCTTTTATTATTTTTTTTAAAAGACAGATTCTTGCTCTGTCACCCAGGCTACAGTGCGGTGGCCCTTACAGCAGCCTCCAACTCCTGGGTTCAAGTGATTCTCCTGCCTCAGTCTCTTGAGTAGTGAGGCAACAGGTGTATCATCACGTCTGGCTAGTTCTTCTATTTTTATTTTATTTTTGAGATGGAGCCTCAAGCTGT